TCTATCCTCCACTGCTCTAATTGTTTTATAATCCCCCATGGCAAGCCATGGTTCTTGTTGCTGGATGTGGATGCTCCGCAAATCATTCCATAGTCCCATTCTGTCACCTTGTATATGTAAGTTGTCACCCATATACAGCAGTAAAAGCAAATGTGAGGCTAGAGGTTTTAATTTGAACTGTAGTGTGTATGAATTGTGCAGACATAGATTCCAAGCTAATATGGGTGTATGCAGGATTCCATATCACCCATATTCTTCCCCTGTCACTATAATCGTAGTTGTCCAGCCACGACCATCCAGACGCAATTTTCCTCATAACCTTGCTTACATGTTGCTCTTTTATTTTATGTTCTATCAGTACTAAAATACTAACATTATTTGTAGTAATGAAATTTCGAACCTCTTGTTGCTTGTAGACTTTATTCAGCCCCCTTATATTCCATGTAACTAGCTTCATGTAGGTAACGATTGTGGAGTTGCAGTGATCACCACCCCAGAATAGCTACATTGCCCTCTTCCCTGATCATCTAGCACATTGAAATCATTCACACTATTAACACCAGGCACTAACAAAGGTCTCTGCACACATCTTGCTGCAGATTTTCCTCTTACCTCCCTCCATTTATCGTCCTCCTTTTCTTTGGTCAGCTCCCCTTGTCTCTGCCTTAAGTTCACTGCTGGTATGTGCATTTCTACCGGGGGAGTTTGGCACTCATTCAACTGTAACCCTGTAGGATCAACAGGATTTGGTAACTTGGCCTGGTCATCCCGTTTAGGTTGCCATTCTTGAGGGACTTGTGGCTTATCCTTCTGAACAATGGGTTTGGTTTGTACATTAGTTGTGCATTTATGTCCAACCTGGAGACATTTTGGACAATATGCAGGTATCCATTCATAAATCACCTTCTGATCAAACACTTTTCCATTTGGATCCTCCACTCTAACTAAAAGTGGGAGTTCCTTTGTGATATCAAGCTCAATCAAAACTCTGGCAAAGGAGATTCTAGCTACCTTCGTTGTGCATTCATCAGCATACAAAGGCAATCCCAAACCACTACTAATTCTGCTCAATGATTGTATCCCCCAGCAGTTTAAAGGAAGATTTGGGAATTTTACCCAAATTGGAATTGTTTGCAGGACCTCTTTACTAAGATCAAAATCTGGAGACCAAGTTTTCGCAATAATCGGCCTGTTGTTCAACATGTGTGGTCTTGAGTATAACACCTCGTCTCTATCATCTAAGCTAGCAAATCGTACAAGGAAATACCCATCATTGTGATAATACACAGTAGGTTTAGTAATGTAGTTCCATTGTGCAGTAATGTATCTCTCCAGACTTGCAATTGTAGGAGTTACACCGACTACATACAAGATCAAGGCATGCTTCCATTTCTGCGTCTCCAACTCCACCTCCTCCTTACAGAGTTTCACCACTTTCTCCCCATTCTGCAGCATTGGTGCGATAAAATTCAGCGTCATCCCTTTAGCAGCTAACTGATACTCTGAAATAGATTCGTCCAAGCTTCTTTTCATTTTTCAGTCTCTGGATGTTCCTCCAACACTAGTGATTGCATCCCACTTCCCCCCGCTGGGCTTTTCTTCCCCACACTCTTTGTGGACAACATAGGCCATGGATCTCCTGTATGCTGAGCAGGAGTTTGTTTTAGTGATTGGTTGTCCATTCTACGATCTTCTTGACTGTTGCTCTGGTTCGACGCCGACATTTGGATCAAAGAGGTTATATCTACTATATATATGTAAAAAGTAATTTAACCATATATAAACGGTGTGATTTTCTATCGAAAGAATTCGGATGAACCTCCTCAGCCCTGCTAGCTTTGTGCCTTATTAATATGGAATGGGGTCCTACTCCACCATTGGCTTGTAATAATGAATATGTTATGGTTAGTAATAATAAATTTGTTATTATGTTCTTTTTTTCATTAATAACTTTAACAAATTTATATTGTTATTTTCTATGAATTCCAAAAATGAGATTATATCATATTTTAATACTTTAAAATTCAAATCGAGAAGTTCATAACAAATATAGAAAATTATCCACCTTTTATATTGTTGAAACATGTTTAACACTTCTCGGTTATACCTATCTTTCAGTGACCAAATTATATTGTTGAAATAGTTTTAACACTTCTCTCGTATACACCTATGTTCTAGTGACCGAGTATATATTATCAACATATGTTTATAATCTTACTTTGATAGTTCTTGTTAGTTTGTCTTTGATTCAACTCTAAATCCATGATTTTTTGCTAGTAATTCTCACTTCCAAGGATAGTGTTACCCTTCTTTCCTATCCGAAAACTATTCCAGTGAAAGCGCAGAAAAGTTCGGGATTTCGTGGTCGCCCTCACTAAACCAACTTAAATTTGAACTACTATTTGCGCTCACCTCATCGGAACCTAAACTTTTATTCACCTCTCCTACATCACCTGATTTCTATGTATAATGCCCTCCTCCAAAATGGTATTTAGTACTTGGTCTCACAAAATATGTCCTTACCTGTTACTTGTCCCACCTACTCGGTAATTCTAATATTGAGAAAAAACTCTTCCATGAAATAGAATTTAATTTTATCATCTTCATACTATCTTTATACTAACAATCACTTTTTTTTACGACATTATTTCTTTAACATTCTATAGAACTCTTCTTTTTTCCAAGAATCATAATTCTCACCAAAAATCATAACAATTTGAGATCTACATTGAGATCAACATACATATAGCTTGATTTAAAAAGTCTCAAATCATAGATTTGTTACATATATTCTTAATATGTGATGTTAGATTGATTTCTATATTACTACATAACAAAATGTGTTCTATTATGATATATTTTACAAAAAATTAAAGAATTATTTTTCTGACTAATTATCTATAGAATCTAATCAGTTAATATGATACATTTAGGAATTGATTATTTAAAGATAAAAGACATAAAGTCACCACTGAAGTTGTTCCGAATTTTTAAAAAGACATCTTAACTTTGCAATCGTCCTATTACCCTACTAAACAATCTTAACAGATATTATTATATCATTTTTCGATCTGCCCCAGATTTTAAGAAGCAAGTGTGTTCACACACCAATCATTACATGACACGTGTTAATTTAATTAAAAATATAAAAAAAAAAAAAACATTTTAAGTTTTTTCTTTATCTTTTTTTTTTCTCTCTCTCTTTTACTTTTTGACTTATTTTAATTTTGATTTCATCTTAAATTTTACTTCATCTTCCACCTCCCACTTTCAAGTGATTCATCCCTCCATTTTCATTCTTTTTCTTCACCTCCTACCCTCACCCCACCCACCACGTCAAGTTGAACCCCACTCCCATTTTTTTCCTTTTCTTTTTCTTCTTCTTCTCTTGTCAAATTCTTTATAGAACTCATACTATTTTTTAGACTTTATTGAATTATTGATAACATAATTAATTATTTTTCTAAGAAAATTTAAATTTTTGAAGATATCATCAACTACTCCTTTTCATATAACTTCAAAATTAGAAATTATAATTTTAAAAGAAATTCAATGAAATTCTCCAAAAATTGAAAGAACTTAATTGAAATCGGATTAAAAAAAACTATATGATACTTCCTAAATCATCTTGAAATCTAATGGGTTTTATCAAATTGTTCGAAATGTAAGAAAATATTTAGTTAAAGTTTAAAATTAAAGAGAGTAAAACTAATAGTAGTAAAAAAAGGAAGGTGAAGTTATGATAAAAATTGTGACATTGAAAGAAGTTTCAATGGAGATGACAATGAATTTTTGAAGAAGAAAGAAGAAAGAAAGAGAAAAAAATAAAAAGGAAAAAATGTTTAATAAGAAAATATATTTTATAATAAAGTACTTGTAAAAATAAACTTATATTAGTTCATTTAGGTTGTTCACTCTATTTGAGAGAGTGCACACCACTCTCTATGTCAGATGGACGAAAAATGATATAATAATACATGTTCAAAATTGTTTAGTGGGTAATAGGACGATTGCAAAATTAAGGTGTCTTTTTGAAAATCTGAAACAACTTCAGTGGTGCTTTTATGTCTTTTCTCTTATTTAAATGATCACTCAATTTATAAGAATTGATTATTTGAATGATCACTCAATTTATAATAATTGATCATCAAAGTCACTTAACTTTTGTTCGTCTTCCAAGAAGTTAACTTTGTCTAGTTAGCTTCTATAGTAGCTTGAAACACAGTTAATGACGAGAATAACTTTTAAGAAAATTAATACTTGAATTAGTTTAGGATCCAACCCAATTTTAAACCGACAAAATCATTGATCAAAATTGGTAAAACATTTTTTGCAATCATTGAGGTGTCATATGGAAATTATTTATGCTTTAGATTTAAAGATAAATTCAAACAATAGTGTCAGTACATGACTTGCGTGAATTCTAAGGTTAGGAAATGAGTCGAGTTTAGGATATGTTGTCTTAAATAAATTCAAGTACTGATTTTATGTTTTAAATATTATTTTATAAAACTTATAGTTGGCTAGTTGCCATGCCATTAAATAAGCATCAGAAGTGTAAAATGGCCATGGATACTACTCATACTAGTCATGTAAAGTTAGATGACTTTTTGAAGATAAAGATCAAAATTAGTGGCTTTGGGGATTAATTATTATAAGTTGAGTGATTATCAGGAGGGTTCAAACACATTAATAGCCTAAAATCAAAAAGGAAAAGAGCTTTATATACCCCTTAATTTTGTTATTTAAAGCTGATATACTCCATGTTACAAAAGTGGTTCACATATACCCTCAACCACCCCTAC